TTTAGACAAGCATTGCGGGGAAAATGGCTTGTTTACCTTGATAAGAAGCGGGAAATTCTTACGAGCAAACCGGCCAACCCACCGGTTCAAGAGACCTTCAACATCATCAGACTTGTGATCGAGTTCAAGAACTTTCTGCACAACTTGAGAAACAGACCAGTCCTTCTGGAACCTGTCTCCTTGGACTCGTATACGATAGCGTTGAGGAATCTGGTCTTTCCTAATTCCACTCACTTGAGTGGACACATGGTGTATGCCCTTGTCGTAGTCCACGAACCCAGATTTTTTCTCCTCGAATGCTGAGTCGTTTTTGGAATTCTTGCATAGTATTTTGGGTTTGAAGGCTGGTGTTGTTGGGTTGTGGAGGAGCGGGAGGTGGTGATGGTGTATGGTTGCCATTTCTGGTTGAGATAGAGAAACAGTTTTGGACCGTGGATGGATAAACCCTTTCAAAAGGGGTTTACAGTTATTTTAGTTCCAACTTTCTAATTACCTTTTTGGCCCTCGTAAAACAAAATTATCTGAGAATAAACATTTATTACTTTATTTACGTTATCTCATCAAAGTTATTACACTTGGCTACAACAATAACTTAGTTTAAAATCTGTATTATGATTGAGATACAATTGTTTTAATTGAATTGAAATTTGATGCTGAATTCACTAGCCATTTCAAATTTAATAACATATGAGCCACTTTAGAGATGTGATAAAAAATATTTTTTAAAACATTTTTTTATTAAAAATATATTAAAATAACATTATTTTTTTATTTTTAATATCAACTTATTAAAATAATATAAAAATATATATAAAAAAAACCCATCAAAGTACTAAATTTTCCATATATGGAGTGGTTAAAAAAATATTAAACAAGTCATGGAAAGTACCCAGTTTGAAAGTGAACAAAATAGTGTTTAACACGTTATTAGCAAAAGAGAATATGATATACATCAAAATTTGTAAATAGGTACTCCATCCAGGTACTCCATCCAAACGGTTGTCGCTGTGATGACTACTAGTGTATAACAAATACAAAATGAAACCTTAAGAGCAAAAGCGTTGGGTGTTCTCCAACAGTAGCTTCTCTTTTCTATGCCTTCAAAAGAAGTTACAAAAGCTCCTTACCGGTAGAATTCAAGGATCCGACCCATCTTGCTTGTATATTGGACGCACAGTAGCTATATAAGTTTGACGTCCATGGTTCAGCTAAAAAAACCGAACCTCGGACAATGATATGGCTTGCCAATAGCCAGCTCTCGATAAATGACTATCGCTAGCTAAGTAGCAGCCCAAGGAGAAATTTCGACAACTGTCAATATATATTAGGGGCAACAAGCATGGGTGCTTCTGACTCCATGGGCATCACCAGAGACTGATTTTCTGTTGCCTCAAAAGTTTCGCTAGTTTGTGTAAATGGGATCGGGTGCCGCTCAGTTGTTGAGTTTCTGTTTCTTCCATGCTTTCTGGGGTTTGTGTAATTTGGAAGCAGAACTAGGTCCACGAAATGACGCTTTGCCTTTCTTGTTCGTGTCCCTATGCTCCATCTTTCTTTTCCCATCACCAGTTTGCTCTTTGTTAAAATTCCTCTTCTTCCAACCATCCTCTGACCGAACCTTGATTGATTTTTCATGCTCAAAGTGCCTTGCTCTTTTAGCCCCTTCACGTCCACTACCATCACCAGTTGATATACCAGGCTTGCTTGAGGTGGGAGGGTTCTCATTGTGTTTCTTCTCCCTCTTTCTCTTCCCGGGATGCACTGAGCCAGTTCTCCCAGGTACAGAACCCAATTCCTTGTTCTTTGGCTTCCTCACCCTGATGCAGCAGCACAGTCAACAGGGATTTGAATGCGAGAAGCAACTAGGGAGAGATGGCTCTTGCAGACAGCAATCAAGCAAAGAGAAATAACAACTATTAAACCAAAAGGAACAGGAGATTTATCAAACCTCTTAGGTGATATATCTGCAGGCGTTTTTTCTGTTTCATTTTTGCCAGCTTCCTTGGAAGTTGACTTATGATGGCGATTCTGCAAAGGATGAATGTTGGAAAGAAGCAATATGCTTTATTTAAAATTAAACAAAAATTTCAGCAGCATGAAGCACATTGGATCAGATATTCTAGATAGTTAAAATCATGCTATAATACGGGAGATGATGACATGTACATGGAATTAGTGTAAGAATGACCTTTATTGATTACTTTTTCATTAAATGAATGAATAGTTTGAAAACACTAGAACAAAATTTTGAGACCATATAAAGGACACAAGGGCTCTAGACGGGAAAATGGTCCCCACATAAATGTAACCTTAATAAGGAAAGTTAAAAGATTGATGCATTTCGCAACGGGATATTAATGGTCTAATTCACTGACTATCATTTACATACTGAAACAGCAGTTGGTGACTCAGAGAGCCAAAAGTCTTGCTCTGTCCCTGCCACTAGTCTGAATGCTCATGAGACAATTTACATAATTATAGCAATTTTCAATCTGGCCAGCACAAGCTGACATGTGGGGTCTGAATCTGAGCTCAATTAAAATCTTTCAAGAAATTAAAATAAAACCAAATTGAGAAGGCAACGTTTTCAGAAAAGAAAAACAACCTGCAAAACAGTCTTGAAAAAACTCTTATGTTTCTCTGGGATATCTAACTCAACTGCAGAAGAACCACACTTCCGTATCATAATCTCCAGTATGACTGTAACCTGTCGAAACTCATTCATGTAAGAAGACCTTTCAGAACAGACAATCAATAAACAGAGTCACATCAACACGTAATTATTTGGAATGCGCAAAGAACACCAATAAGAGCATAATGGCAGAGTTACATGCCTTTGATCTGAAATGGTTTCTAGAGACAGAAGACCAGGGAAGAACTCCAATGATGATGTCAGATAGAAAATTCTGCAGGTCTTTTGCATGCAAGCAAGATACTAATACTTTTGTGAAGCCCAAAACAGCCTGTTTAATATTTACTAATTATTTAGACACTGCTGAAATCTTAAAAAATTAATAACAATCTCGATAGAGAGCTAGTAAATACTTACTTTTATGACTTCCAGAGCTTTGTTTTGCAGCAATGATAAGAGAGAGGGAACAAGATCGGGCACTTTAAGACAGATTTCTGTATCATTATATAATAGTACAGACAGTGCAGATACTGCTCCACTTGTGATGTAGGGAGACGAACCAGAGAGATAACCTGTTATCTGAGCAGTGTATGACTTCATCAGAGAGCATCTATGACACTTGTTAAGTTATTAATGGCAACATGACATCGGTCAAATTCAAGATTTTTCATCACTGGACCACAACCAAAAGACCAAAACAGCATATCAGCAACAACTCAGTGTACAATCTAAAATTTCTAAATAAGGTGCTCCCTGCCCGCAAAGTAATTCGTCCATCTACCCTTTATTGGATCCCCAAAATATTTGTCTAATTGGAAGTCCACATACAAAACCTAAGGAAGTTGTACCCCACAAATCTAGAAGGCAAACAAGTTATCTAAACACCCAAAACTATGATTTTTAATTGCAGCAGTAATGATGGCATCACATTGATCACCTGAATACATTGATAATGTCCACTTAAAAGGTTGACTTTCTAACATAGACAAACAACTGGAGGCAGAGGGATAGACAGCCAGGATATTAGCCATTCATGCTGGGAAAAACAATGAACTAAAGAGATGGTAAGCATATTCAAAAGCCTTCAACAAATGAAGCTTCACGTTAACAAATACTAAAGTAGAACAGGTGACACACTAACCATGTTGATCAGTCTTTGATAAGCTTCTCTGGAAGTGGCACAAGATGAGTTGCACAAGGAGGAACTTATAAAAAGGAGTGTATCATAAGCCACTTTCCTAGCTTCTTCCCTTGCCTACATGTTACAGAATAGATGCATTCAATTAGCTCTCAACCACAAGTGTCCTCACTTTGATAATTCAAGCTGAATATCAAACGCATTGATACAATGGCAATAGTATAGAATAACAAGGGGAAAAAAAGACCACTTCTTGAATTTTATTTAACAAGAAATGGATGCCAATTCAAAATATAGAACAAAACAAAACCTAGCTGTTTTTTCAATGACAATAAACTAATAACAGCGGTAAGTAGTGCAATATATAGTTAGATAATTTTATGTTATTTAAAGTTCATTAGCAAAGTCATCCAAGAATTTTAAACTAACATAAATAAAACGGAGAGAGAAAACTATAAATCAATGTCTTAACCTACATGTGCCTCTTTTTTTTGACACATTAACCATGTTTACTTGTAAAAAAGAACAAGACATGAAATATATCAAGAGCAGAGAGAGAGAGAGAAATTCCCTTAACAAGCTTTGGCAAGCTAATAACACACACAGAGAGCAGATACAGTAGCTCAAGAGTTCATTTACCTCTGATTCCTAACTGAAAAATGGAAATCAGGACTACAAAACAATAAAAAAGAAGAAGCAAAGTACGTACATCCTTCAAGATGAGTATGATCTCATTAAGCATAAGAAAAGCCTTTGTATTTTTCTCCTCTGAGTTCATCTGCAAAAGGCATATTAAAGAAATTAATGGAATTTCAGATTCCATTTAATTTATGCGGGATGACAATAGTATCACATCTGCCTCCAAAGACAGTGAATTAGCTAAACCAACCAAAGTTGCCAGAGTGTCCATGATATAAACATAATAAGAGAAACTTCAAGAGGAGAAAAAGGCCAAAAAAAACAGGACTTCATAAGATCATGCATATTAGATTTAAAGCAACCACTAATGCATGATAGTATAGACTCTTCAGGCCAAATTCTAGAAATTCTCAATCATCTTTTCTCAATAATTTGTTTGACACATAAATTTAGGCATACAAATAAATTTAATAATTAAGGCGTCTTGTATAATGGACACTTTCCCATCAGGTGCCCTTCACTGTGTGAAAGAAAGACAGTGAAGCAAGAAAAATAGGGGTTGGAGGTGAAAAATGAGAGGTGGGGACATTGCAATCCCTTGCTTCAGTGGATAGTGAATGGACCCCCTCCACAAATGTAGGCACTTCAGCTAGAAACATAAATTGTCAGTGTCGTCTTATTTTCTTACATTCATCTTGTGATTTCTGCTTTGTATTATTTTTTCCAATTTCTATTGCTATTTTCCAAAGAAAAAACTTTCATGGCTAACATGTAACATGCAAGGGTCCCCAAGAAACATGGTTCACAATGCAAGCATTCAAGTGTTTAACACCAACAATTAGGTAAAATATTTCTCTTCCTTATCCAGTCAAGACATTGACTTTTAAGTCTTCTCAAATGTAGGCTCTTCAGCTAGAAACATAAATTGTCAGTGTCTTCTTATTTACTTACATTCATCTTGTGATTTCTGCTTTGTATTGTTTTTTCCATACAATTGCTATTTTCCAAAGAAAAAACTTTCATGGCTTGCATGTAACAAGCAACAGTCCCCGAGAAACATAGTTCAAAATGTAGGCATTCAAGTGTTTAACACCATCAATTAGTAAACTATTTCTCTTCCTTATACAGTCAAGACATTGCCTTTTTAACTCTTCTTTCATCCTGCCCTGACAAGAAAATGATGACTTAATGATTTTATCTGGAATTATCATGTTGTAATTTGCATCAATGAGAAAAAAGAAAAGCAATCAAGCAGCCCAGGAAGTATCATTTCATCTATCAATTTATGTAAATTGAGCTCATTGAGAGGGATGTTACTCACATGCCACTTCATAATTAAATTTCATTCTCTTTTCTAAATCAGCTCAATTTTTGGAGTTGAGATATTCAATAATGCCATTTACAGAGAAAAAAATGGAAGATTTGGAAATACAGAGATAAAAATAGAAGAAGATATGACAAACTAAAAGAAGACAAGTAGGAACAGAGATCTTGACCTCTAATGCATGAACTATGAGAATATGGAAACAAGCAAATCGATTTTTAAGAGTTGCAACATCAGCAGGAGATTTCAGGCCAAGTAATAAGTCAATCAGCTCCACAAACCGAGAAGAACAAAACCATGCGTGTTCCTGCACCAGAAAATAAAAAAGAAAAGTTACTAAGTCTGCAAAGCAGTAGCTTCTGTAGATGATAATTTAAGTATGCCAAGATGCAAGTCCAAACCTGTAAAATTCTGCTCAGAGTGTGGTATGCTTCACAATGACCAGTTACATCAGTAGCCTGAATGTCAAAGATTCATAAAAGAATTTTTAGACCAGAATTATTTGGCCACAAACAAAAAAGAACATCAATATAGGGAAGGTTGTCAGGTGTTCAGGTTGGAAAGGTCACCCGAAAGATGAAGACAACAAAGTTATATATCAGATCAATGAAATCTGTTTTGGCTCCAACAACGAGAGAAGATGCAAGCTCCATCATCACACACCTGTACATTTACTGGACTTGTCAATTTTCAAGATTTCAGGGGAGTCAGGGAGAAGACCAAAAACTTAAGTTACATTTTCGAAGCAGGCAAATACAGCAATTTGGAGAAGACAGGGAGAACCCAGTTCATTAATTCCTTTCACATCCTTAACTCAATTTCTTCTTTTCTATTCTTTTCTTTTAAAATCTTTTTCATGAGCTAGTGTTAGATGTTGTGGGTTGGTTTGGTATTAAAGCAGGACATTAACTTTCCAGTTTACCTATGTACATCTTTCTCTTGTACATTCAAGTTGCGTACTTCTTCCTCAATCAATTCATCACCATCACTCTTTGGCTGTTGAAATTCACCTTCACCAGTTACAAACCGAAACCTCTTAAGCAGTGACATGAAAACTTTCTGGGTGACAGAAGAATTGCTGATAGAAGCCAAGCATGCAATAGCATCCTGAGAAAATACCGCCAGTGAATATGTGATATCTCATGAAATTGACTGGTATCAAAAAGGTAATGGCATGAGTATACATTAGCATAATTATAATTTCACAACTAAGAAACATTACTGAAAAGGCTAAACTCAATGTTACCAACTTAGAGAGATGCAGAGATTAAGGAATGTCAAAAGCTATCCTACTTACCTAGGGACTGAATCATATGAGCCCAGAAACTTTCAAAGAAGGTTACAGTCTATGAGGTGTAAGCATCAATTTATAGACACAACAATGATTTATATATGTACAATCTTTCGCTAGTATGACAAGAAAACCATGCCAGTAGCTCCAAATAACTTACAAGAGCAGCAACACTTACTTAAACTGCTCAAGCAAAATGAATATCGAACCACTCCACCTTAAATCAGGGGCAGTGGTGACCATGGCAGGTCACAAAGCCAGGCAAGCCAATCCAAATCCAATTGGTAAATTTCTAGGATGCACTTTGTATAGGCATCACCCAACCCAACACTATTGATAGAGAAGATGAAAGCCAAAAAACAGACGCTATAGAAAAGAGGAAACAGAGATAATTCGTAAACTAGAGTGAAAAAAATGCATAGTAGGAAAAGGGGGAGCAGGATATCAATGTCAAGTCAATTCTGTATCTCAAGAAAGAAACTTTCAACTTAGAGAAAATACAGCAAGAATTCATCTATCAAACATGTGAAAACAAAAATTAAGGTGAAGAAAAACTAAATATGGAAGAAACCTTTATATACGAGGGCTTCCCAGACTGTGAATCAACAAATAAGTCAGCTAGAGCATGAAGCAACTTTGAAGAACATGATGCCAAAGCTTTGATGTTTTTGGTTGCAGTTTTTTTGGAACAAGTGGCTACATTTTGGCACTCTAAAACAGAAACTTTTACTTCATTGTCATTTGAGGCACCACCATCACTTTTAGACAACATCACACTTCTGTTTTGATTCACGAGAACCTATCCAAAACCAAAGAAATAAATAAATAAAAATCAAATATAAAAGAAAAAAACAATTAAATAATGCATCCCAATGAAAAACACCAGGCCTAAAGAAGAAAGAAAATAATTAGCTCTTCACACCTATAAAGGGAAAAGAGAGGTCACCTGTAAGGCAACAGCGATATTCTGATGCATGAAGGAGTACTTCTTAAGAGAAGTAATCATAAGTTCAGCCAAAGCTCCAAACTTTTTGTGAGTATCAACAGGATACCGACAAAAGGCAGGAAGCAGTCCCCAGAGGCCATGAGCATGAGCCTGCAGATCTTGACCAATTACTGATTTTCTAACTGGACCAAAAAAGGGGAAAGGGGAATATAAATAAAAATATATATATTCCAGAAGTTGATATGTTCACAGCATAACAAATCGTTGTTGAATGAAAATCATGAAGATGAGCTATGATAGATAAAAGAACAACTCTCGATTGCATTACAATTAAAAAATGTTTATGAGCCAGTACAGCCCCACAGGTGATCAGTAAATCAGACAGCTGTCAGCTATAGTTGTGTGACCACTGACTAGTTAATGTATCAATCTGGATAGTTTCTATTGCAGGCTGCAGACATCAGTTTAGGTTCAGCAAAACACAAAGGTCCAATAATACAAATCTTCATCATCAAAGCAAGAGCTCTACAGCATAAATAAGGGCAATATGGTCATTTGAAACTGCCTAACTTCTGCCACCCATTAGAGTTCATCATTATAAAATTAGCCAGAATGGACAAACTTTTCGTTTACTTAAAGCTTTTAGGGCATACCTTTCTGACCAGCTTGCTTAAAGGATTTTGCAAGAGGCACGATGTGCTCCATATAATACCCTAGCGAAGCTCCAACAACATGGTCTTTCAATATGGGTACCAACCAGATATTTGAACATGTAAAATTGTCAGGATCAATGGAGATAGGTAGGAGCATAAGCAAGTTCTCCGGACCAATGGCAACCACTGCGGATCCCATGCAATTTTGAAGCTGGAATTGTAACAAAAAGGGCAGCAATCAATTCAGTAGATGTCATTTAAAGAAATTATACACTATCAACTAAAATGAAACGTGCACATCTGAATTGAGGAGTGAGTTTACAACAATAAAAGATATACAGAAATGATGATCTTGTTACATTTCCTAGGAAACATCTCATGAGATACGACTTGAACGTACAATGCTCATGTCAAATCTCTTAGAGAGATGTAACAGGCATTGGGCAAATTGACAGCTCAAAAGATAGTGGTTTCTTAGGACTGCTCAAAAGGTGACTATAGCTGTTGCATAGCTTCACACCCATCACTAAGGGCCAAAAAAAAATAACATTGTACCATTAATGCTAACATAAAATCATTTCAACCATGGATCAAAATTGGCAGATTGACAGCCCCAAAAATTTGTGTCACTGGCTGAAGAAATAGTACAAGCAAAAGAAGATGAAATAAAAATTTAAGAGGTCACTTGACACCGCCGCTCCATCAACATTGGGACAGTTGCAAGAACATCCATGAGCACTTACATGATTTGTGTCTGGTTTATCACAACCAACATCATTCATCAAGTCTGCAAGCTTAAGGATGATGTTCTTCATGAAGATATGCGATATATCTCCTGTAATATAAAAGCAAAGTTGATGAGCAGGAGCTCTACCCATTTATTAGATTAAACATAATCATGCATAGAAACAATGCAAGTAAACATATAATTCTGAGACAATGACAAGCACAATATTAAACATGTGGGCAAAAACATTGCATTTTGTTCGGAGGAGAACTACGAAAGTTCGCTATTCTTTTAAAATTTAGCTGGCAATATGGCCTCTAAAGTTATGCTAGTTTAAAATTTTGTCAAGGATAGAGATTTGGATACCATAAAATAGTTTGAAGCAAGCAATAGTATTATGAGTAAAATCAAGAAATATAATTGTGCTAAAATGGCAGAAGAACAACAAATTCCATGTACCAAGCTTCTTGAACAAAACAGATATGACTCCCAAAAGGTGTTCATTCGGAATTCCATCACATGAATTCAGAATATTCTCCATGACAGCGCATGTTAATTTTATCATATTTGCTTCTTCACTCTCTTGACTTGAATCATCAAGTGATTGACTTTCATTAATCACGACTTCTTTTGGATCTATATAGTGGTTGATCAACTCCTTCATTATATCTGAAGCCTGTGATGCAGTAGCCTCATCAGTCAAAAGACCTGAATCAGTATAGACATGTGTCAGGGGACCTAATAGTATGCAATCAACATGTCCACAACAATAACAAAGAAGAAAAATACTAGCACTGTTAACAGAGATCCAATAAACATATCAAGAAGCAAACCTGCTGTAGAACCAAAAATTTTATGTCCATTACTCATCCAAGAGCTTGATCCTCCAGCTCGAAGTTTATCTAAAATAGTTCTTAGCAGGGTGGCGGCAGACAATACAGTGTCCACAGGATTCTTTTGTCCCAGAGATAAATACCCAGAAAGAGAATCTATAATGTTCTCCTGATGCGGACCAATCACTTCATCACTTGAACTCACAAAAAATGCTTCAATATTTTGAAAAATCTGCCTCGTTAGCACTGAGAAATCAGACCTCAAAAGCTTAACTAGTTCTGGCAAAACTTTTGAACTGATTTTAACCGAGAGATACGGAACAGTAACCTTCAGAAGATTTAGCATATGAATGACCTCTAGATGTTCCAGCTTTGATAATGTTTCTTCTTTAGACTCGTCAAAAATCCTTGACTCACTCAATGTAAGTGCTACAGGCATGTAATTTTTGAACAACGA